TACAACTTGATGTACAGAGAAGTGGCATGTTTAGAAATGAAGATTAATTTGGCAGTAGTTGGAAGGCATGACTGATGGGAGAGAAATTGGAAGTGGATAGGCTACATTTTACCCTGTTGCAGTCAAGTTGATTCTGACTCATGGTGACCCATGTGATACAAAGTAGATTAGAACTGCTCCAAAGAGTTTTTGGGGCTATAATCCTTATGGAAGCAGATTGCTAGGCCTTTCTTCTGTGGTGCTGCTGGGTTGAGTTCAAATCATCAACGTTTAGTTTAGTAGCCAAGACCAAACTCTTGATGCCACTCATGGGCCACATAGGACGTTATTATTTCAGAGTTCAGGAAATGGGAAAATAAGATGTTGAACCAGTGAGGGCAATAGCATTGAAAACAATCAGCAGGTACACAGTAGAGACCCCTTAGAGGAGACATCTAGCACTTGGAAGCTGAAATGAAATATGGAGCAGATCAAGGGTCTCCATTTCAAGCCACTTCTCAAAACAGAAATAAAAGAGCAGTAATAATTTTATTAAGGTTATAATAAAAAACAAAACAAAACTCGCTGCTGTTGAGTCAATTCGACTCATAGCGACCCCTCCTTGGGTTTCTGAGGCAGTATCTCTACAGAAGTAGATTGCCCAACTTTCCTTCTGAGGAGTAGCTGGTGGGATTGAAACGCCAACCTTCTGGTTAGCAGCCAAATGCCTTAAGTACCATTGTAAAAGGTAAAAGTCTGGAAAAAAATGTTACAGTAAAATATTTGTTCTAATTAAAAAAAGAATTAAGTTTCAAGGAGGCAAAATTGCTATAGTAGTTGTTTGTGGATTTCAGTATCATGAGATGCTAGTCGCATAATCAATAAGTTCCCCTTACAGGATGTGAGGCTTTATTCCTAGTTGTTGTGCCAAACAAAATAGATAGTCGTATGTGGAAGAATTAAGAGGAATAGTCCAAAGATGATCATGAATAATATAACTACTTAATATTACATGAGTCAAGCTTTTGATTCTTCATCCTTAGAAACTTTAAGTAATTACTTCCTAGTATGATGATTATCTCTATTGATAAAAAACACATTTTTAATATTTTTATTATATTTCATATAGCTTTGCCCCATCTAATGAAAGTTAATAATTTAATCACGTAATAATTGGAATAGAACTTACAGATTTAACACATTCACTTGGTTTAATTAAAGCTTTTCATAAATGCATAGCAATTGGATAATTGATATTCTAATGAGGAGTAGACTTGTGAAAATTGGATTTTATTTCCTAGGGAATCATACTGGGAGATATTTAAAATTAAGTCACAATTATTAAGCCATCTATGATGAAAAATACTTTAAAATGTGGTGATATTTACAAATAACAAACATATACAACACTTTCCTTAAAATTTAACCATTTTAATCTCCTGCCCAAATTTTGTAAGGCATGTGCTGCCACGAGTGCCATTTAGTGGTCATAAAATGTTTTTTAATTTTCCTAATATGCTATAGCAGTCTGTATAACCATTTTTACAGAAGAGGGACTGTACCTGACTCTTTGTATCTAGTTTTTCTGTAAAAATACACACATATTAACATATATTCTCACATATACATGCATTTTAAGCCAAAGAACAAATGCATTGCCATTGATTCGATTCCAACTTATAGAAACCTTATAGGACAGAGTAGAACTGCCTCACAGTGTTTCCTAGGCTGTAATGTTTCATAGGGTTTCCTAGGCTGTAAAGTTTATGGAAGCAGATTGCCTTACCTTCTCCTGCAGAGCAGCTTGTGTGTTTGAACAGCCAACCTTCCAGTTAGCAGTAGAGCACTTTAACCATTGTACCACTGTGGCTCCCCAAATATATACATTATACATATGTGTAGTAATACATAAGGAACTCTGGTGGTGCAGTGCCTAAGGCATTTGGCTGCTAACCAGAAAGTCAGTGTCTCAAAACCACTATCCCCTCCATAGAAGGAAGGAAGGAAGATGGGGCAATCTACTTTCGTAAAGATTTACTACATTGGAAACCCAACAGGGTCACTATGGGTCTGAATGGACTCCATGGCAATGAGCTTGGTTTGGTTTTTTATAGTAATACATATATATGAAATTTGGACAAAATTTTTATATATAG